TATATATATATATATAATTCATTTTTCCGACATTTAAACATTCTAATTATTATTAAGGAAAAATTATTAAAAAAAAAAACACTCTTATTTCACTAATTTTATTTCTAGAAAATTTAGACTCATGTATTCAATTCCACTGCGTGTCGAAATCATTTTCAGTCTTTCTAAGGCTGTCTTTCTAAGGCAGTCTTTCTTAAACCGAATTTAAATAATAATATTGATGCTAATAAACATCTTAAAAAACTATAAATAATTTATTACGAAATATACTACCTCAGTCCATTCAAACCTTGAACTTTCTTATATTCCATAATGGATATTTTAACTAATTCGTATATTAAATATTAAGATCCGATAAGACCTTTTCGTTATTTGTTGTTTTCTTAATTTATCTCTCAACTTTGTATTTTATTTTTCGCAACTAATTTTTTGTTACAAACAAAGCGAGATTTGACCCGCATGTTTCCTGAGTAATCTCACGTCTGTGCACGAACCATTTCACATAGGCCTTCTGAGGCACAAGCATACCAATCTCAGGCCTTTCGTGAATCGAGACTGAATCAGTCTTTGTTCCAAAGTTGATAACAATCGGTAGCGACAAAAGCTTGCTACATTCCCTCGCTTTGTCTCGGCACATCGTTACATATTGGCTTAAGACCAAAATGGCCCCATTATATCGAGAGGCAATCGCGATGCGCTCTCAAAGTCGGTCCTTAAGCCTTCTCTAGGTAATGACTTCACCCACTTTCATTGTATCTTATCTCGAGAGAAATTAGCTCGAGGCTAGATCAAGTCGATATGTGATACGAGCATCAGCATCAAATTGCATAAAATATACATCTCTGCCCATAATAGTATATTATGAGTTGCTAATAAGTTTAACAATGGAGCTTTTTTCGGTGGTAAAGTTGAAAGATCACATGTTCAATGCATCTAACCGTGTACATTGTTCCTGGATGCCGATGTTCATTTAACGCAGTTGAAATAACTGCGGCTCGGCTATAACGGTCTCGACAAAATGAGAAATTCCGGCAAGTTTAATGAAAGTATTTAACAGGCAAAATTGCTGTCGTGTACCGGCATGGTGTCGCTTACAGTCGCGAACGCAACATGCGCTTTGGAAAATTGAAGCATGATTGAATAATCGTCGAAAGTGTTTTTAAATTGTTGATAACTTTTACTCTTATGATATATGACAAATCTCTTTTATTTTTCTTATAATGTTTTTTAATATTTAATATCATAAGGTTTAATGTTTTTTTTTTAACGTTTGACATCACGAGCGTCTTCTTACAACATTTTTTACGTGCTGTTATGGATTAATAAAGTTTCAAGAACGAGCCAATTACTGATTAACTGCCCGCAGCGGTACCGATTGCGTATATAAAGTTTTTTAACTACGTCTATACAATGGCGGCTCTGGGAATTGCTGTTGCGCGAACGGGCTGACCCTCCCGGGTTTTTTTCCTCTCCCGATATTTCCTCGTCGTTTCATAAAGACGCATTAGAGGCGAAATTAAAACCCGCCGCGAAGCGGTTTCGTTAGTCGCTCGTTTTGCGTTGTTCTCAATTTTCATTAGCCAGCCACTTTAGTGAGCAGAAAATTTTGTTAACTTTTATAGTTAAACCGCTCGCTTGTAGGGTCGACAAATTGTATCAATTTTATCGAACAACACATAGTTACGATAACAAGATCAAATGCTTCTCCTTTCTCGGAGATTTCTCAGCAGAACCTCTTTTAACAATATGCAATGTTATCAGTTCGATTTAATTTGAATTTTACTTTGGCTGTTTTTCGTTGAGAGATTTAAAAGTCCAAAGTTGTAGTGACATTGTTAATGGATATTGTGACGTACGTTGAAAACGAAGTTGAATAGATGCGCCGACACAAAATAATTTCATAAGCTAGATATTTATAAATCCAACGTTCTCGTCGCGGAATCGCTTTTTTATGCCAACGATAATTAATATCTTGTTCTAAAAAAAAAGTGAGGATTGCTCTCTCTCTCGAACGCTATATTTCAAGCACTGTCATAGTCATAAAATCTATAAAAGTGAATCGTTCTAAAAGTGAATGACCCAGCAATTCAACTATATAACTCTTATTTCGTTCATCGCCTGTCCTACATACTAGTTTGACCATTAGCAAATATACTATG